AGTGATCTCTTGCTTTCTTCATGGATAATGTTCTTGATAGCCTCCCACAATTCTTCTGGTTTTTTGGTCATTGGTGTTCAATGCATCAAATGTATTCTTTAGATGATCTCTAAATTCAGGAGGGATATATTCAAGATCATATTTTGGTTCTCTTGGACTTGTTTTTTATTGTCTTCCTTGGATGTGTATGGATATTATCCTATCACTGACAGCACTGTACTTCAAGATAGATCTTGAAACAGTCTTTGTAATGATGAATGCCATGTCATTCCTCTACAATTTGTTATTCCCAGCATACTAGAGCATATGGTTGTCTGATTCAAAATGGCCAAAACCAGTCCATTTCAACTCACTAATGCCTAGGATATTGATTTTTATGTGTTCCATTTCAGTTTTAACAATTTCCAGTTTTCCTAAGTTCATTCTTCATACTTTCCATGTTCCAGTTATTAATGGATGTTTGCAGTTTATTTTTTTTTCTCATTTTGAGTCATGACACATCAGCAAACGGAGGTCCTGAAAGCTTTATTCTATCCTTATCATTATGGTCAGCTCTACTCTGAGGAGGCAGCTCTTTCCCAGTTATATTTTGAGTTCCTTCCAACTTGAGGAGCTCATCTTCTAGCACTATATCAGACAATATTTCAGAGCTATTCATAAAGTTTTCCAGTAATATATTAGACAGTGTTTCACTGCTATTCATAATGTTTTCACTGACCAATTCTTTTAGAAGTGGATGGCCCCTTCCTTCTTCCAAGTCTATCTTAGTCTGGAAGCTCTGCTGAATTCTGTCCACCATGGATGACTCTGCTGGTATTTGATATACCAGTGGCATAGCCTCCAGCTTCATAGTAACATACATGCCACAACAGTATGATAAACTGACAGATGAGACAATTTCCATTATTAGGCTGAAAAATCAACGGTGATTGTTCGACTCACCACTGTTCGTATTGATGTAATTCTCAAAAATGTGCACCAGGAATCTGTTGGAAGACTTCTGAAATACAGCCACCACTGTTTCAATAGGAGTGTCTTTGTTATTTTCAGGCCAACCAGTGATGTTATAAGGCATCTTTGGAATGGCATGAAGTTCAAGTAACAGATGGGGGGAGCTATATAAGTTAGCAAAGCAAATTGTACATTACTTGGAAACACATTATAAATTGTGTGAGTCCTTTAAATTCCAATCAGTTTGATGTAACAGTGTGAATAATACTCCAGGAGCATATTGTGAAGCCTAAGGAAATTCTAAGGCTTTACAATTTACAAGAAGGGAAGGGAAGGAAAAAATATGGGAAGGAAAGATGAGGAGAGGGGAGAGGAGGAGAGAAGAGTAAAAGTAAGGCAGGAAAAGGAAGGGAAAGGAGAGGAGGGAGGAATGATAAGATGTTATTTCCAGTAGAAATAATTTCCATCATAGGCAAGAATAGCTAAAATAATCCAAGTAAACTGTCCCTGGTGTGCAGTGAGCACTCAAAATGTTAGCAATTATAATGATATTTTACTATAATTATCATTATAATATTCTAAGATATCAAAGAAGAGAACAATAAACACATTTGTATACAGTGGCAGGTCTTTTTTAGGTTGAAGTATTATCCTTTATCAGTTCTCTCTGTTCCAACTAGAATCACTGGCCAGAGCAGGAGTTTAAAAAAAAAAAGTGTGTGTGTGTGTGTGGAGGGACACACACACCAGTAGGGAGTCAAGGGGAGTCAAGGGGGGCTATGAGAAACCTTTATTGACCATAGATCATAGTTTGGAGAACATCGCTTCACATTGGCTATTTCTTTATATGGAGATTAAAAAAGAGAGAAACCTTCAATAAAAAGATCTTCTGAAATCATTCTTTCACACAATGTTAAGTTAAAAGAAAGGACAAATAAGGGAAAACCTGTGACTTTGATGGTCTCTATGCCTTTCTGGAACTGTCTGCCTTTAGAGTTTGGTGACAAAGAACATTTTGAAAGCTTTTTGACCCCTGTGCACATGGAATGCTATTACAGTATGAATATTTCATTTGCTAAATGCTATAGTATGAGTGTTTCATTTGCTAAGTGCTAAAAGGCTGGTGCCTTTTTTCTGTAACTGAGATTTATTTTGTTCATTTCTTTATTTAATCTAAACTTTAACTAAATACTATCTAAGGACTTTGGCGTAGTGCATTTGAAATACACTAAGAATAATTCACTGCTGAGGGTCTATTGGTAACTTACCATGCCTACATAATGGACAAGTTCAAAGTGAGTTTCATATTCCCTCCTCTTATCTGGTTTGTGTTTCTGTGATGAACTGACTATCCAAAATGGTTGTCAAAGAGTTTGGTCTTGAAAGTCCCATATGTAGCCTTAGAGAACATACATTCGTCTAAAGATGGAAATGATGCCTATTGGCTATTAGAGATACATATGGGCAGCAGATGAAAACACCAGAAAACAGTATTTTCAGCAGGGACCAGAGAAATTCTTTCCCAGAAACCTACTCAGTTGACAAAGGAAAAGGACATTCACTGAATATAACTACCAAGTCATCCCTGCAAACAAATATTTATCAAATACACACAAGGTTCAAGAGTTGACAACGCAGCAGTGAGCCACATATAGAAAGTGCCTGCCCTCTTATGGTGCAGACAGATAATTAAAAAGAAAACAAATCAAATCTTTCAGTTTGTTATATTGTGTTAGCTTGTGTGTTGCTGTGATACTGGAAGTTAGGACACAGGAATTGCAAATACCAGCAGGGTCACTATGGTGGAGGGGCTGTAGCAAATTCTCCAGACTAAGACAGAGTAGAAAGAAAGGCCTGGCAATCAACTTCTGGAAATTAGCCAATGAAAACTCTATGGATTACAATAGAATATTTTCTGATGTAGTGCTAGAAGATGAGCACCCTAACTTGGAAGGTACTCAAAATATAAATGGATACAACAATAGATTCAATAATGGTAGCTGTTACTGGGATGGCATAGGACCAAGCAATATTTCATTCTGTTGTGCAGGAGGTCTCCATGAGTTGGAGCCAATTCAACAGCAACAAACAACAACAGTTTTTCATATAAGTGCTTTGAAAACCAAAAAGAAACCTGTTTCCACTGAGTCAATTCTAACTCATAGAGGACAAGTAGAACTTCCCTATGGGGTTTCCAGGGCTGACATATTTATGGAAGAGACTGCTATATTTTTCTCTCACAAAACAGCTGGTAGGTTCAAACTACTGACCTTTCAGTAAGCAACCAAGTGCTTAACCATTGTGCCATCAGGGCTCCTTAAGGACTTTGAAGTATCCTGCAAATTAAAGAGAGAAAGATTAACTAGGGTCTTAGATGTGGTCTATTTTAGGTAGGGTAGTCAGGTGAGTCCCTTCTGACCAGAGACTTGAATGAGTAGAGAAAATCCTGACAAGATCGATGTGGCAGTGAAGGGAAGAGTGTAAAGACCTTGAGGCTGGAATACATGTGGCAAGTTTGAGGTCCTGCCAGAAGACAAATGTAGACAGAGCAAAACAAGTCACAAGGAGTACATTGTGAGATAAACTCAAAGAAGTAAGGTGTGTCTGGATCTCAGTGGCCTTATAGGTCATAGTAAAAAGTTTGCATTTTATTTAAATTATAATTGAAGGCCTTTTGCTGTTGTTGTTAGATTCCATTGAGTCAGTTCCAACTCATAGCAACTCAACAGAATGAAACACTGCCCAAACCAAAAAACCAAACTCACCGCTGTCAAGTCAATATGACTCATAGCAACACCTCCTTGGGTTTCTGAGGCGGTGTCACTACAGTATCACAAGTAGGTTGCCCAACCTTCCTTCCAGGGAGTGGCTGGTGTGTTTGAACCACCAGCCTTCTGGTTACCAGTCAAACGCCTTAGGCACTATGCCACCAGAGCTCCCAAATCTTTGCTATACTTGAGCCCATTGTTGCAGCCACTGTGTCAATCTATCTTGTTCAGGGTCTTCCTCTTTTTTGTGACCATCTATTTTACCAAGCATGATGTCCTTCTCTAGGGACTGATCCCTCCTGATAACTTGTCCGAAGTACATGAGACAAAGTTTCTCAATCCTTGCTTCTAAGAAGAATTCCAGCTGTATTTCTAAAACAGATTTTTTTTTTGTCTTCTTCATTCTTCTGGTAGTCCACAGTGTTCTGGTTACCTGGTGCCACTCTAATAGAAATACCACAAATGGGAAGCTTGAACAAACAGGAGTTATTCTCTCACAGTTTTGAGGCTTTAAGTCCAAGTTCAAAGTGCCAGGCTCTAGGAGCTGGGTGAAAGCCCTTCAACCTTGGCTTCAGCTCTGCCTCCTGATCCTGGCCCACTGAAGCTAGAGGCTTTTCTTCACTCAGACAGCTGCTGGCTGCTGAGGCTGACAAGCCCAAGGTTGACAAGCAAAAGGGCACAGTCCTGGTGTTACCAAATCACACAGCAGGCCATTAATTCAAGTCCATTGAAAGTCCCAAAGTCGGCAGGGCATAGCAGGCTGCTGAACAGTGACATGGCTACATGCAGGGTCCAAGTGTGCCACAGGCTGGAGTCCATTCCCAAAGCTGTTTCTTACATATGGGAAGCAGATCACATACCCAAAGGCTGCTAGCTACTCAGCTGCTCACAGTAGAGTCCACCAAGGAGTTGATTACCAGTCTCATCATGGGGAATACTACATCCAGCTGCCCAGCCACTCAACCAGGCCTAGCCAAGTTGACACACAAACTTAACCACCACACAAAGAATATATTCAGTATTCTTTACCAACACCATAATTCAAAGGCATCAATTTTTCTTCACTCTTCCTTATTCATTATCTACCTTTGGCATGCATATGACATTATTGAAAACACCATGGCTTGAATTCAGTACACCTTAGTCCTCAAAGTGACATTTTTGCTTTTTAATACTTTAAAGAGATCTTTTCCAGCAGATTTGCCCAATGCAATACATCATTTGATTTCTATTGCTTGACTATTGCTTCCATGGTCATTAAATATGGACCCAAGTAAAATTAAATCCTTGACAACTTCAATATTTTCTCAATTTATCATACGAATGATGTGATTTTATATATGCTTTAGAAGGGTAATTGGTCTAGGATATATGTTGGGAAAATAGAAACAGTGGTTAAAATCCTGCCTGTGACTGGTATGGGAAAGCCAGTGAGCTAAGGAAGTTTTTTACATTATTAAAGTGTTGTAAAAGCACAATAAAAAATGACAACAAAGAAAAATATGTGACAAAAGACTGCACAACCTCTATCAACAGACTTTTTTCTCTGCAGGGCTGTATATAATAAATATTTTAGGTTTTGTGGGCCATATCTGTTTTACCTGCACCTACTAAACCTTGCCATTGTAGAGACACAAACAGTAATCAATAATATGTTAACATATTATTGTATGTGACTATTTAATCAATCATATGTTAACATACTATTGTGTGTGGCTATTTTCCAATAAAGGTTTAATTTCAAAAATAGACTGTAGATTGGATTTGGTCCACATACTCATAGTTGGTAGAGGTCTGAGCTAGTGTTGGGAATTGTGAGAAGTCATTGGAAATGTGATATTCATGGAAAGTGAAACTAGGATACAATTGCTGATGGCCTGAATGTGGAGAGTAAGAAAAAGGAAGCAAAGATGACCAGGAACAAGATACCTTTCCCCAACAACATATATTTCATGATGTTCTACCCATCCTGTTTACCTAAGAATCATAGGCCCTCAGGTTTGGGAGGGACTTTAAAATCTGATATAACCCATCAAATAAATCCTAAAATCCCCTTCATAATGTCCTCTTAAAAGTTAGGTTGGCTTCTGCTTAAACATTTTCACGAAGAGAAAACTCACAAACTCTTGAGTAGAGGCTCTAAACAAGTAACGTATTAGGAGAAAATTTTTTTGTAGCTTAGATTTCTTCGTTCTAAATTACCCCACCTGAGCCATGCAAACAGGTCTAATTCCTCCTCTATTAGGTTAGTTGGCAGAGATTTGAAAAATGTAATTTTGATTCACCTGATTCTATTATTTTAATATATGAACTATGGTTTTCCATCTCTTTTGTATAGTCTTATAGACCTAGACTTGCATTTTACAGGAAATACAATTAAGACATCTAGAACACCTTCCCTTCATCTAGAACACCTTCCCAAGAATCCAGGGGAGGAAGGTTGCAAAGAGTAGAGCTATGAAGTATTCTAAATGAAACCAGTACCTGTCTTGTTCCTGGCAACACCGACCTTATACGTTGGGAAAATGAGGAATGAGGAGAAGAAAGAATCTGATAAATGAAAAGTTGATTCATTGATGAAAACTCTTCTCGGGCATGGGCTCTATCTTGAAGCATATGTTTTCCTACCATGCCTATAGTCAACCTTCAATAAAAACTGGAATGAATCATTGAAAAAAAGAAAAGAAAAGAAAACTTCTAAGCATCTCCTGGGGTATTTGTTAAAGGTTGTGGCAAAGTTTCACAAGGAGCTGCAGCCTCCCACACACAAGGACCACCTGGATCTCCAATGATGCCAACTTCCATCTTGGGATGAATGAAGTTTTATGTAAAGTAAGCAGATAGCAATGTTCAAGATGTAATAACTGAGCCAGAGAGGAGGAAAAACACAGCTTTCTTCAGAGTCTTCTTTATTTGTCAAATTCTCAGGGGGTCTAAAGTTTTGAAGAGATAGGAGGCCCTCCAGCAAAATAATTTCCAAATAGGTCAGGAAAAAAAGTAACTTATTCCGCTCCATAGCATCAGTTGTCCTATGTCATTGTTAGATGCCATCAAGACGTTTCCAAATCATAGTGACCTGATGTACAACAGAACAAAATGCTGCCCGGTCTTACACTATCCTCACAATTGTTATGTTTGAGCCCATTGTTGCAGCCACTGTGTCAATCCATCTCATTGGATTTTTTTTTTTTTTTTTCTGACCCTCTACTTTGCCAAGCATGATATCCTTCTTGGCATCACTGCTTTTTTTTTTTTTTAAAAAAAAAGCAAAGTGGCATCTTTGCCTTTTTAACACTTTAAAGAGGTCTTTTGTGGAAGATTTGTGCAATGCAATACATCGTTTGATTTCTTGACTGCTGCTTCCATGGGCTTTGATTATGGAGTCCAATAAAATAAAATTCTTGACAATTTCAATATTTTCTCTGTTTATTTTGATGCTGCTCATTGGTCCAGATATCCTATATCATACTGTAAATGATTTAGAGTCAGCCACCCTGCTTCAGAACAACTAGTACTCTTTCAAATATTATGAATTCTGCCTTCTTCTCTCTTATATCATCACTTTCTTACTATTTCCATTTCCATTGTCCTGGTACAGGATCTTTTTATTTCTCACCTGCCCTACTATAACAACTTCTTACGCCTTAATTTTAGTCTTTTCTCCTATCCTAGGCATCCACAACAAACCCACCAGATTAAACACAGCAGCTCTGACTCCTTTGTCTAGCTCAGAAGCCTTTTTGGCTCCTTGGTACCTAAAAATAACATAAACTCTTCAAGGTGAGTTAAAATCCCTTCACAATCCAGCATTTCTTAGCATATTCTTTGCCTTGCTCTTGCCAGGCGCTCCATCTATAACTTGTGTTTTCCTATTTTCACCTGTTGAAATCATACTCATTCCTAAAGACCCAGCTGAAATGTACCCCCTCCCCACCAGGCCTTCCTAAATCCTTGCAGAGAGAGATAAACTGCTCTTCTCATCTCTTAGGACTGTTGTCTGTGCCTTTTTGCACTTATACTGACACATATATTTATGTGCATTAGACTTACACCTTCTCTAATTGACTGCATACTTCCTAAGGGCAAGACCTATTTATAACAAATGCTTAATTGCTTCACATTACGGATGTTGGAAAAACATCACAAATTGTGTGGTTCCTTTAACTTTGAATGAGTATGATGTAACAGTGTGAACAGTACTCCAGAAGCCCATTGCACACCCCAAAGGGATTTTTCAGACTTTATCATTTATGGGAAGAGAAGGGAAGAAGAAGAAGGGGAAGGGAGAGGAAAAGAGGGTGAGGTAAGCTAAGCTAAGAGAAGGCAAGGGAGACAAGTGTGTATAAGTTCTGGTTTATGATAGGACTCATTGAAATCTAAAGTCTTATACACAGTAGCTGCTAAGCAAATGTATTTGTTTGCTTACTAAAAACTAAGAAAAGTTTTGTTTTTTAAATATTTTCCAATTATTCCTTAAGTTTGTTGATCACCAGAATGCTATCTTCTGGGATACGCATTTTTCATAACTCTCAGCAGAGTGGATTTCAAGGTGACTAAAATATATGTGCTTAATAAATTCCTGTTAATTAATTGACAGGTGAACTCTGAGATAGTAGGTTTAAGCTTTGGGACCTGGGCTGTTTTGCTGAGGTCAATGGATAAAAATTAAGAGTTGCCAACAAAAAAACCATGGAGTTATGTGTTTAATGAGAACATTCCTGGGCACACATAATATAACTAGGTATTAATCAGATTTATTTTCTAAATAAAAACACAAGAATTAGCACATCCAAAAGCTCTTCTTGAAAGGCAGCAATACTTACTGTCAAGATGCTACCAAGATTTAAAATATTTGAGAACCCTTCTTTGGGAATTGTTTACTGGCATATGGAAAATTTCTATTGTCTGATGGTATACCATTATACAGAAATAATCAAATGTTGTTCAGACCAAGTCAGGAAAATAAGATAAATAATGTTATCAAGCTAGTTAATACAGTATGGACTCAAAAAGAGGCAAGTATTGAAGTCAAATTTCTGCCAAAACTGGCAAACTTATTCTAAATCTTACCTTAATCCCAATCATGTGAGGGACTTTCCAAAAGGTCTAAATTATTTTATTTATTTATAGAAAGTTTACAGAGCAAATTGATTTTCCATTCAACAATTCATACCCATTTTGATTGTGACATTGACTGCAGTCCCCACGATGTGATAACAGTCTTCCCCCTTTGTCCCTGTGCTTATCGTTTCCATTTGTCCCCCTTTCCTATGCCTTGTTGCCTTCTCTAGACAAATGCTGCCTTTCTGATCTCTATGGCTTGTTATTCTAAGATGTGCATACCTCCATAGTGCTATTGTTCATCTTATAAGCCTGTGCATTCTTTGGCTGAGAGTATAGCTATGGAGGTAAGTGTGGTTCCAGACTTGAGGGGTGCCTAAAGGCCACAGTCTCAGCAATTCCACCAGTCTCTATTAGACCACTAAGCCAGGTTGCTTGGTTGATTTTTCATTTTTTTCCTGTAACATTTATTTATCTGTTTACTTATTTATTTTTGTCTTCCCCTTCACCCAAGTTAATATTTCTACTCTCCAGTTAGTTGTTTACCCTCCCGTTCCCACCAACTCTTGGTAACCTTCAAAGAGTATTTCTTTTTTTAATGAAACCCCAAAATGGCTAAATTATTGAAAGAAGGGCATAGTCTCCCAAGGTGATTACACTAAAAGAGCAACAATTTCTACATGTATAATTTTTGGCATATTTGTTAAAATATATAAAAATAATCTCTTTACTATATGTATCCATCAATATGTAGTCATATGTTAATATTTTAATATCTAAATTATTGATACATCAATATGTAAATTAAGGCGCTCAGGTGGTGTAGTGGTTAAGGCACTTGACTGCTAACCAGTAGGTGAGCAGTTCAAACCCACCAGCCTCTCTGTGGAAGGAAGACAGGGCAATCTACTTCTGTAAAAATTTACAGTCTCAGAAACCCAATGGGGGTCGTTATGAGTCATAAACAACTCAAGGGCAGTGAGTTTGGGTGTTTTGTTTTTGTTTTTGTTTTTTGGTTAATATGTGAATTATTGATCCTCAACTTAACAAATTAGAATATTTCAAGTAATGAAATAAGTGTGAACTAATTTTATAATACATTCGTTCACAGCATATATAGAGAAGGAGGTCACTGTATATTTGAAGACCAAATTAATTAAAGCTGGTGTTATCATACATTTTCAATTTTAGTTTAACAAACTTCTTCTGTAAACATAAAATATGAAACTTCTATGGATGAAAATCTATTTCCTTACATACATACTCACAGATGCATGTTATTGGGCATTTTGTACATATTGATACAGTTTTGTCCTTTTGAATTTTGAATACTGCCCCTGAGTCATTCTCTTTCAAGGAGTGAGTTTGATTATTTAATGTTTACTGCAAAATTTCCTCAGGCAAACTGAACCAACACAATGGATCTTTTCAAAATATAGAGTCTTTTTAAGAAAGGTTTGCAATTCTTCATTTGCCTGATCTAAATAGTTTTGAAATCATTCATAAGACACCAAAGACTTATCTTTTTGTATTATCATCTGGTAAGTTTTTTCCCCCCTCTCATTTGATCATATCAGCAGAAAATACAACAGGAAATTACATCCATGTTGCTAGAGTGTCGTTTGAAGACAGTATCAAGGCTTCAGATCAACTGAAAATCAGGAACATTTACAGACCTATCTGTGTCTGAATAATGTCTGTGCCCACATTCCTGCCTGAAAATATTATCTTGCCATAATCAAAGTAAGTAGATATTACAGATGACAATTACCAGAAGCTAAATATGTCCTTCTGAGGAGTTCTATCTTTTTGTTTCATTTCTAACCAGAAAACTACAGCTTTGATAATACCAGGAAACATTTACCAGATCACCATTGAGTTAGTAGTAGTAGTAATATTTTAAATCTACTCATGGTTGTTTCATTATTACTGCTTTAATCAGCCTGTCTTTCCCCAGGGACTTTGCTGGTTATAAAACAAATAAAATCAATTTTCTTTCTACTCCTGGTAGATATAGTGGCTATCTTCAAGGCAGCTTTTGTTTCATCTAAAGCCTAATAAATGAAATTGTTGAGACACTGATTGATAAAATCTGAGGTCTGCACAGGCCAAGGCCTGAGCTTCTTCCTGACAGAGTTGTTGAGAATTGAATGGAACAGAGAAGCTAAAGAGAGCTTTCTGGAATTTAAAAGCACTAGGTCTTGGCGTGCCCAGACCTGTCTCCAGAATCCACTGCAATCCACACTTAGAGAAAGACACAGGGGCAGGTAACTGCTAATATACAACTACACCTGCTGCCATGGACTAAGTCACTGAAGAGAACATATGGAATTCCCCCCGCAAACCCTGTTAATGTATACCAGAGCACACATAAAGATTTCAGAGTACAGGGACATCACTGAATTCAGAAACTGTACACTGCAGCTAATTTACTAATAAGCCATGAAGTATTGTCATAAATTACTTAAACTAACTGGTACTTGTCCAATTAAATGAACAAACTACGTCCTGCAAGGTAGTGGCCTTGAGGATTTATAGCAGTTGTTTGTTTGCATGCTAATTTGCCAAATTTCGTTAAGCTGTTCTGGGTCTACTCATTCACTTCATGTTAACCAGCCAGGCTCTACGTGCTCGTATTTTCAGCTCTGTGTTTTTCCAGTCAAGAGCATGACCGTTTTTAATCTTGGCAAGGTTCCTTGAGCATTAACAGTGGATACCGTGCATAAGCAGCAAATGCATAGTGACAGTCTGCATTATAGATGATGGAGTAGGGGAAATGACATGAGAGTTTAGTTAGGATGCCACGGGTGCTGCACACAGAGACCGTTAAGAAGAAATCTGCAGGGCTCCCTTATGCCATTTCCCATTCCCTTTCAGAACCTGGCTCCTGACACAGATTGACATGGCATGCAGGGGCAATTCTCCATAAATGAAAATGGGAGAGGAGAAAAGCATATATTACCTTCTTAATGAGCTATAGGCAGGCTTGCAAATTCAGACCGAAGTCAATGGACACCCAATCAATGCCTTCCTTCCTATATTCTTCTTGATCCAGAACAAACATGTGCTGATTGAAGAAGTGTAATTTTTCATTGCTAAAATGAATGCAAAGTTTCTCAAGGCTGTTATATTTCAAAGATATGAATAGGTAAGCACAAAAGACAGAAATAAAATTGAGGTCCACTTGGAAGAATGTACAGTAAAGAGAAAACAATAACCATGATCATATGATGGCAAATACAACAGAATAGAAAATGCTCAATTAAACTTTTGCCTTCCTCAGATATGCCCACAAACTAAAGATTATTACAATTACATAACATGTAATGGTATTGCCATCCAAAACTTGCCATCCAAAAAACTTCCTTTTCCTCCATTTACCTTTACTTAAGGCTGAATTGTATAGTTTTAGAAGTAATAATAAGAATTAATAATTTCTTAATACTATTAAATAATTGGAGCTCTGGTGGCATGGTGCCTAAGGCATTTGACTGCTACCCAGAATGTTGGCAGTTCAAGCCCACCAGCTGCTCCACAGAAGGAAGATGGGACAATCTACTTCCTTAAAAGATGTACTACTTCAGAAACCTAATGGAGGTCGCTATGAGCCAGAATCAGCTCTATGGCAGTGAGTTACTTTTGGTTTATTAAGTAATTAATAGCTCTTTCCCAACAAAGTAAGCTGTGAAGGTTTAAATGACGATTTTGATCGTGCTTTGATTATACATTCTGATTTTCAAGTCATATTTGGTAAACTCCTTGTAAGTATGCATGGACCTCGTTCTTACCACATATATTTACTTCAAAGATTTCAAAACCAGTAGTGCCTAAGGCACTTGACTGCTAACCAGAAGGCTGGAGGTTCAAACCCACCAGCCACTCCTCGGAAGGAAGATTGGGCAATCTACTTCCATAGTGATACCTCCTCAGAAACCCAAGGAGGGATTGCTGTGAGTCGGGTCTGACTTGACAGCACATAACAACAACAACAACATTGTCAAGAATGCCAGTGAAGAATTGTCTTTGCAGCTTGGCATCCAGAGCCCTGTATGTAGATATATGCACCTCACTTAAACACCTTTTCATATGATAACTTGGACAGCATACGTTACCTAGAAAGCACACTGGAAACACTCCCTCAGCTAAAAGCAGTGTTTGTTTTAATCTTGGGCACTCTCTATGAGCAACCACCTTCTAGTTAAATCAAGTGTATTTATTGACCTTTTGTTGTTCTAGGATTCTGCTGAGTGCAAAAAGAAAAAAAAAAAAAAAAGGAAGGAAAACAGGAAAGGAGAGAGGAGAGAAAGGAAGAGAAGAGGGGAAGAGGGAAGAAGGGTTGAGGGGATGGGGGGCAAGCTGGCCTGGTATCTATCAAAAACTCATGTGAGGGAATCATATTCCTATTGTTAAAAGGATAATAAATGATAGGAGAATTGATCAATTCAAACTGTGTGTTGGCAAAGAATACCGAATATGACAAAAGAACAAACAAATCAGTCTTAGAAGAAATATAGCCAGAATGTTCCTTAGAAGTGAGGATGGCTAGACATCCCCTCACTTACTTTGGACATGTCACCAGAAAAGACCAATCACTAGAAAGGACATTATGTTTAGTAAAGTAGAGGGTCAGCAAAAATGAGGTAAACCATCCATGAGATGGATTGGCACATGGTTGCAACAATGGACTCAAACATACCAAGGATCGTGAAATTGGCACGGGACTATTCTGTTATACATAAGAAAACAAAAAAGCAAACTCACTGCCATCAAGTCAATTCCATCTCATAGCAACCTTCATTGGGTTTACAAGGCTGTAAATTTTTACAGAAGTAGATTGCCTCATCCTCTGTGGAGCAGCTGGTAGCTTTGAACCACCAATCTTCTGGTTAGTAGCCAAATGCCTTACAGATTCCACCACCAGAGCTCTCTAATTATACATAAGGTTGTCATGAATTAGAGCTAACTCAATGGCAATTAAAACACAATAAAATCCTGGGATGTGGTTCTAGAACTTTCTGTTGAAAATCTGGTGCTAAGACCAGCAACATAGGTATCTCCTGGGAGGTTGGTAAAGCTGCAAACTTCAAGTCTCACCCCAGACCTAGTGAATCAGAATCTGCAGTGTAACAAGACACGCAGGTGATTCCTATGTGCCATAACGTTTGAAATCTACTAATACAGTAGATGAGAAATCTAGAGTTTCTACCAGTCCTTATCTTGCTGCTGGTGCTTCTAACAAATTCTGTGACCTTTGGCAAGTGACTCAACCTCTGTGGGCTTGTTCTGGTTCCTAGTGCCGCTCTGACAAGAAGGCACCACAAATGGGATGGCTTTAACAAACAGGAGTTTATTCTCTCACAGTTTGGAAGCTTTAAGTCCAAATTCAAAGTGCCGGGCTCTAGGGCCTGTGTGAAAGCCCCTCAACCTTGGGGTCCAGCTCTGCCTCTTGCTCCCATCCCACTGAAGCTAGAGACATCTCTTCACTCAGACAGCTACTGGCTGCTGAGGCTAACAAGCCCAAGGTCAACAAATAAAATGGCACAGTCCCGATGTTACCAAACCACACAGCAAGCCAGTAATTCAGGTCGTTTGTAAGTCCCAAGGTGAGCAGAGCATGGCAGGCTGCTGAACAACGACAGGGCTACATGCAGGGTCCAAGCATGCCATATGCTACAGACCGTTCCCAAAGCTGCTCCTTATATAAGGGAAGCAGACCACATAACCAAAGCAGCAGCTACTCAGCTACTTGTAGCAGATCCCACCATGGAGCTGATTGCCAGTCTCATCATGGGGAATAACTACCACCAGCTGCCCAGCCACTCAGCCAGGCCCAACCATGTTGACACACAAACATAACTACCACAGGGCCATAACATCTTCATCTGAAAAATGCTGTTGAAGGTCTTTTCCAGCCCCAGCTTCCACATCCTCTAGCATATTCATTCCTGGTGTTGCTCTCAACTCTCAGTAGAGAGAATGGCAATTTGGTGCATCATTCTAACTCAGATCCTCCTACTTGAAAGCCAAGGCTACATTTCCCTTCCATTTTTGGGGTGGAGTGTGGTGAAGCCTCTACAGTGTCCGACTAGGGAAATCTCCAACCTCTGTGCCTGAAAGATGCTATACAAATGCATATCCTGCTTCCCTAATGCAAAGTTGCTGCTGTAGTAGCGGGTTTTTGACAGACTCCTAGTAGGAGTGAATTTCAGCTGGCCATTCTCCAAGCCTGGAAGCCGAATGTGCTCCAACCACTTAACATTTAAAACAGACCTATCACATCCATCCTTCAGCTGCCCAGGAGAGAGCATGAAGTAGGAGCCAGTTGGTGTCTGGTGGTGATTTAGTTATGAGTCACTCACTCTCTGATCAGTTATCTTGAGTCATTTCCACAGTAATCCATAAGCTGGATGGCACCTCAGTTTTTTATTATCAGCGTCAAGAGCACACCCATACAAATAAAGCTCCAGGAATGATTTTCACCCTCTGTAACACCAAGGAAATTACTCTCTGTCTATGGCAGTCACTTTGAAACTTAAAAAAGAACATGACTAACTTGCTCACCTCCTTATAGTTCCCTAAATATGTTAGAAGTGGGAGTGAGAGAGAAACTGGCCAGAGGGCTAGGGAAGTAGGGAAGAGACACAGAAAGAAAGCCTGAATATAGGCAGAGGGAGAAGCGGATGGTTTCTTATCTGCTGAATGCCATATTTCTTAATACTATAATGAATTAATAAAGCCAATATACTGCTCATTAATTAATCATTGTAATCGTTTTCATCATTTCATGTCCAATGAAAGAGAAATGAGGCAGCTAAACCTACACGTCCACTTTTCAGGGACTAAACGGACCCACATCAGCATTTTTAAAAAGTAACTTCACATAGTTGTCATTGTTGTTGGTTGCTGTCACACCATTTCCAACTCATGGCAACCTTATGTGCAGAGTAGAACTGCTGCATAGGATTTTCAAGACTGTGACCTTTGGAAGCAGATCACCAGGCTTATCTTTCAAGGTGCCTCTGGATGGGTTTGAACCACCAACCTTTCAGTTAGCAGTTGTTTGCTTAACAGTTTGTGCCAACCAGGGACCAACCTCTTATATAGTCTTAATTACTGAGGACAACAGTGCATGATAGAAAAAAAAAAAAAAAAAAGAAAACAAAAACACTGTTCTGCATTCTACTGCAACTGGGTTCTTAAAGGCTTGTGAGTGGCCATCTCTAGATGCAATGATTGGTCTCTCCTTGTCTAGAGCAAAGAAGAATGAAGAAAACCAAAGACACATGGAAAGAATTAGTCCAAGGGACTAGTGAACCATGCAAACCTCAGTCTATATAACCCTGAGACCAGAACTAGATGGTACCTATATACAACTGTTAACTACTTGAAAAGGGATCATTGCAGGAGATCCTGGATAGGATGGGAGAACAATGTGGACCAAAACTCAAAATCATTTTGAAAAAAAAAAGACCAGGTTTATTGGTCTGATAGAGCCTGTGAAACCCCGGAGAGTATGGCACCTAGTTACCCTTCAGGCCTGGAATGGAACTCACTCTCATGGCTTCCAGCCAAACAGTAGACAGGTATATAGGGTGAACCTTTATACAAGGTATATACACTCCTTAGAACCATCCATCATGGGAGAACAGAGGGCTGTAATTGCATTGGGAGACAGTTCAGGGGGCAGGAATGCATAGGAAAGAAGGACACAGGTAAGAGGTAACTCTAGGGAGGGAGTGGGAAGAGAACTATTACATTGTGGGGATTGCAGTGAATGTCATGAAACAAAATGTATATGAAAATGAATTTCCTCTGTAAACTTTCACCCAAATCATGATAATAAAAGTGCTACTGGCATTTAGTACTTTGGGGCCAAGGATGCCACACATCCTGCAATGTGCAGGACATTCTCATATATGAGAAATTGTCCTATCTCATCATCTTTCCATTGAGAAACACAAAGGAGTTCAACATTTTCACTGGAGGCTCTGAGGAATGAAGATATTTGACCAATTTCCCAGAGTTAGTTAGCATGAGAGCCAGAACTAAATTTTATGTAGAACATTAGCTTTGCAAGAATTTTCCCCATCTTTTGCGATTGTCATCAACAGAGCATACACATCTCTATTCTTAGCAGTGGCAATTGTCTCTATGAAGTCAGTGAAATTCCAAAGACAAGAAAAGCCTTACAGTGTGCTTTCTTACTCTGTCTCCTGGAGAGAAATAGAGAGGAGGAGGATGAGTTTTGTTTTTCTTTCCTATTTTTTTTTTATGTTGAATAATAATACATTAGCTTGCCTCACTGGTTTTATTATAGTAAAGGCTGCTGTGGTAACTCAGTCCCTGAGAACACAATATTAAAGAGGTGAAGGTTTGATTTCAGTCCTCCTATGGGCTCATTAGTTTTATACAGAGGAAGACACTGTTTTATAATCATAACATGCCATACAAGCATTTTGTGAGGAATGTCTAAGAAAATGGAACTGCCAAACAACTCTAACTCCACTACCCAGAAATAGCTCAACTATTTGTCCTGCTGATCATGAAGTTCAGCTCAATTTAGTTTATTTTAACATTTATGGGGCATCTATGGCTTGCAGGTGCTTGGGATACTAAGATGAATTACATACAGTCCATGCTTTCAAGAAGCTCAGGTTAGTAGGGAAAAACAAAAGTATAAACAGATAATTTCAATACAATAGTATTAAGAGTCCTGGTGGAGCACTTAGGCTGCTAACTGAAAGGCTGGCAGTTCTAACCTACCCAGTATCTGGGAGAACAATCTGGCATTCTGCTTCTGTAAAGATTAGTAGGAAACCCTATGGGACATCTCTATTTTT